AAGAGTCGGTCTTCCCATCACTAACCATAACTACCCAAAGTCTGTCTTTTAACGAAAAAATCAGGTGCAATACTATTGTGTAAGATTACTGAGCAATTAAGTGCAATATCACTGTGCAATATCACTGTGCAATATTAACTTTGGCAACAATAAAGTTTTATCAAAAAAATATTTTTTGTTGCTGAAAAATATTTTTTTTTAGTAGAAAAGTGGCTAAATTTTTTTATTCGTTTTTAGTGTAAGTTTTTAATAATTATAATGAATAATTTAATACTAATAAAGCATTGGCAATTGGATACAAATTGTTATGAAATTACATTTCTGAAATACATGAAAATTAAATAAAAACAAAATAGCAAAAAAAAGCTTAAAGTCATTGTAGACCTGTATAGTTATTAATGAAGTAAAAATGAATCATAAAAATACTATTTACTAACATGTAGCTGTGTAAGGAGCAGTAGAGACCAATAAAGACAATCTGATTTATCTGAGCTAACGGGCAAATCCTCTCAAGAATAACTTCTAAGGTCTAAAGTATCATTAGTTGTTTATGCTTATATACCTGTGTGGGGGGAGTGGTTTTCGACTTGTGTGTGTTTAAATCTTGTAGGCCAATGGAAGACAGAGGCTAGGCCTCTTGTGGCCAATCATATTATTGTTCTTGTATCATGTGATGCCTGCAGTCGCCACTATGTGGCACTGTTGTTCCATGATTCAGCAGTGTTGGAAGAACCTTTTGTTGCTGAGTGGGGGGTTATCACAAGGGAAGTGGACTGAGCCATGAAGTCCAGTCAACCACAGATGGTCATGTAGATCAAAAGGAATGGATGGCTTCGGGGTTCCCTGTGAGAAGATTGGGAGATCTCCCATTGTTCCCAGGGAGTAGAGGTGTTTTAGAAAGTTAGTGTGAAGAGAATTTGGGGAAATTCTCTTTGAATGTGTGGGGCTATGTGACTGTGTGTGCTCGGGAAAGCCATTTGGTGTCTTATCAGCTTCCTGCTGCAGACCCAACCAAATGTGAAAACCACTGAAATCTAACACTATATACATATGTGTGTAGACATACTTCAAGTTATTACTCATGGACTACAAGCTGCGTACTTTGTACTGTGTACTTCGGTTGCCAAGCAATGACACTTTGTTGCCAGACTCACTGTTTTCTTGTGTTTCTTTGCAATGACAATAAAGAAAGTCTAAGTCTAAGTTTAGACGAGGGAGGTGAGGCTCGCAGTGGGGGTCTCTATGTTTACATAAGCGATAACTGGTGTCACGACACTGTTGTGGTCCGCAAATACTGCTCTCCATTTGTGGAGTTTATGATTCAAAAGTGCCGGCCATTCTACCTGCCAAGGGAATTTAGTGCTATACTGCTTGTAGCCATATACATTCCCCCAGGCTCCAACAACAACAGGAGTGAGGCGCTGAATGAACTCTACCTCCACATCAGTGAACATCAGACAGCCCATCTCAGCCTTCCTCATCCTGGCTGGTGACTTCAACCATGCAAACCCTAAGAGTGTGTTTCCAAAACTCAACGGACATATCAACTTTCCTACACGAGGTAACAGTATTCTTGACAATGTATACACTCCACAAAAAGGTGCCTACAAAGCCCTATCTCTGCCCCACCTAGGTGCTTCCGACCACACCACTGTTATGCTAATACCGGCATACAGATCACTGGTCAAAACAACTACACCAGTAAAGAAACAAGTACAGGTGTGGCCTGAGGGGTCGTCAGAGGCACTCCACCACAGACTGGAGCATGTTCAGACAGGCAGCCACATACAACAACATCACTGACCTCCAGGAGTATACAGAGACTGTAACCGCCTACATGCACAAGTGCACTGACGACGTTACAGTCACCAGATCCAGACAGAGGAGGTCCACAGGCTCCTGAGGGCTCGAAATTCTGCCTTTCGAGCCAAGGCCGGGTGAGCCTGAGAACAGCCAGGGCCAACCTGTCACGAGGCATCAGAGAGGCCAAGAGACATTACTCCAAGAGGATCTTCAATCACTTCAGTGACAGCAGAGACACCAGGA